ATACTCAGCTATATAGCTTTTATTGGTAAAGCTCTCTTTTTCAGTTTTAGTTAGGATTTTTGTCTGTCTTCTTCAGTTGTAGTAGTTCTTTCTCTAATTTGGATACAAGTCCCTTATCAATATATGTTCTGCAAAATAAATTTCTATCTTTCTGTGATTTGACTTGTCATGTTCTTGCTTGTCCTTTGAAGCACGAAGTTTAACATTTTGAGGATGTTCACCCTTTCGTACTTCTAAGAACCCTTGGGATGACATTCAACTAACCTAGATAATCCAAGATACTCTCTTGCTTTTAAAGGTCAGCTGGTAAGCAACCTTCATTCATCTGCAATATAAATTCTCCTTTGGCATGTAACCTAACATATTCACAGGTCAGGTATTAGAAGTCTTTGTGAAGAGGAATTACTCTACCACCTACAACATTGTTTTTGTTATTCTTTAGGGCAAGACTTGCCCTCTGAAATTACTCATGGGCAGGGCTAGGGGAGATGGGTTCACATGGGGCTCCTGAATGAGACTGTAGGTCACCTGTTGGGAAGAGGGTAACTCTGTAGCTTTCCCTGCCTTTTCCCCCAACCATGATTTTATTCCTTATATTTGAATTCTAACACAGTCTGACAAGGACACAATATATCAATATTAACTACACTAACCATCCTCAGGTGATTATGAGTAAAACACAAATGCTCAAAACGATTGAAAGAGAAGTATAGGCAGTGCAGAAGTATAGGCAGGGCAGAGTCCCCAAAAGTGACATCAGTGTTGCTCTCTCTCCTTACCTCCCACTCACTGCAGTTAAAGTTAATTAATAACCAATTTCTTGGAATATAATTCTCTTATTACAGAAATCGCCTTATTAAAGTATACAACTCAGTGTTCTATAGGTATTCATAAAGTCATACAATCATCACCTTTACATCATTGTCAAACATATCTATCATCCCCAAAGAAATTCTGAGCCATTGACTCTTTATTTCTGATCTGAGAATTGCTATTCTTTCTTTCTTGGTCAATTTGTCTATTCTGGGTGTTCCATAAACACAATCATGTAATATATGGCCATTTGTGCCAAGATTCTTTCACATGAGGCATAATTCATTCCTTTACATGTCAAATCATATTCTGTTGTCTTGATACACCACATTTTGTTTATCTGTTCATCTGTAGATGGTCATGTGGGCTATGAATGATATTGTTGTGAACATTCATGTACAAGTATTTACAGTTCTCTTGCATATATACTAGAGGTAGAAGTCTGAGTTATATGATAACTGTGTAGTTGACTCATTGAGGAACATTCAAGCTCTTTCCCAAAGCAGCTGCATCATTACATTCCCAACAAAAGGGTTCCAGGATTCCCATTCTCCACGTTCTCACCAGCACATCTTGTGTCAGTCTTTTGGATTGTGGACATTCCAGTGGGCGTGAAGTAGTGTCTTTGTGTGTGTTGATTCACCTTTCACTAATGACTCATGATAACTAAGCATCTTATGTGCTTTGTGCTTTTGTCCCCCTGACTTCACTGAAACCAACTCAAGCATTCAGCGCTTCAACCCTGTTGATGGCTTCTTCCCTCCTTCTGGAAGCTCTTTTCTAGATTATTGGTGCTCACCATCTCCTGTTTTCATAAACTTGAGTCCTACTTCTCTTCCTGAGCTTCAAATGTTGGAGTGTCCCATTGCTATTAGCTCTTCCCCAAAACATCTTTATTCATGACAGTTATGTCAACATGAAATTGAATTGTCTATTAATTTATTTTTTGCATTAGTCACTGATGTGTAAGCTCTACAGAAGCAGATTTGTCTTGTTCATCAGAATTCCTGGTTCTAGAATAGCACTAAATATTTTTGAATGAATGAACACTTGTAGAAAAACGTACATGTTTCATGGGGGGAAAAAAAAAGCTGGGTTCTCCATAACAAATTACTGAAATATTGCATCAAATTTGAAAAAGTGTCTTTTGTGAGGGACTTCTCAGATACTTCACTGTGATAATGAACATTGTAAAATTTTATTTGAATGAAAACTTTTTCAGTATGAATGTATCATGAGACTTGCAAAATATTCTTCCAATTTCAGTAGCCAAGTTTCGATCCCTAGCAAAATTTTAAAACACTTTATTAAATGGATGGTTTGTTAGCACTTAGAAGGATAAGTTATGATCACCATGGATTAATATTAAAATTAATATCAACAGGGTATGGCAAATTATCCCCATGGATGCCATGCAGAATTCCATTCGGTTGGAAGGCCACGGCAACAGTATGTTCTCACAACACTGAGGCTTTGAGCTGGGTATGCCACATTCTCCTTGTTCTGAAAAGCTGAGTGGGTTGTCAGGATGATGGGATCAGCCTGTCATTTAAGAATTACGTGAAGACATCAGGCTGAGTTGAGATATCTGCCCTTGAGGAAAAAATCACCTACCCAGTGAGCTGTTTACTGTCTTTGGTGTCATGGTGAGTTTCAAGTAGTTACCAGTGATCAAGAGTGGCATTTCCAGAACTGGATGGTAACAGAGCCTAAAAAGAGAGCTTTGAACACTAAACTGAGAAGACAAAAGTGAGGGGTGGGGGTGGAGGACAGGGATACTATCTATGATTCTATGACATTCCCCTGAAGTGTGTTCATAGCCTGCCATATGTTAATGGTGATAAGTAACTACCATATCCCCAAAGATAGGCACTGGGATCCTCAGAGTGCATGAAGCCAGGGAAGCATTCAGAAATAGGTCTCCCTATAATTTGGAGGAGGATGGGCAGGTAAAACAGGGAGTGATGTTGGTGCCCATATTGATACCCTTGGCAGGAGTGGGGTTAGGAATCAGATGGATGGTCTTAGCCATTGTTTCTCAGTTAGTGGCCCTTAACCAGTGGTACCAGCATCACCTTGTACCATGTTAGAAATGTAAATTTTGGAGTCCTACCAATGTGTATTTTAACAATCCTGAGGCATGATTTGAAGTTTGAGAACTTCTAGTGAAAGCAACAGAAACAAACTTTGGTCAAAAGAGATGCTTTAACAATGTGCCATTCAAAAAGCCTTTAAAATATCTTTACTGCTGGTAAGAGAATTAGTTCTTGTATCTGATCTCTGCTTGGTTTTAAGATTTTTAAAAAAATACATTTTTTGGAATAGTAAAAGTAATCATGCTGTACCTGTACACTTAGAAGATCTGCTTCTCTTAATAATTCTGCAAGGCAGGAACTATTGCAGTTCTCATTATAGACAAGGATGGTGGGACATAGGTCTTCTGTGGCAAGCTCACATAGCTAGTTACGTGGTAGGTTCGTCTACACTGAATGTATTGTACTTCTTGATAAGTGGCTATTAAGTGATCAGTGTCCTTAGTTAGGCAGTTTGACGGCAGAACACTGGTTTGGAAAATGGGAGGCTGGGGGGACCAGAGGGAGAAAGAAGGAAAGTGGGAAAAGAAGAAAGGATACAACAGTAGGTTTTAGAAGCAGAAATCAAGTGAAGGCTCTAAGTGTGGGCTATCTCCTTCTTTTGTGGCACTTTCCTGGTCTTTCCATCATCCAGTCTGTGGATTCCAATTAGTTTCTGATTGGAGTCTGGGCCCACACTGCCTGGCTTTCTCTGAAGAAGTTGGTTCCTGGGTAGTTTGTGATTTATTTTTCCTTACTTGTTTTTCCTCCCTCTGCCCCTATGCTCCCATAGTCTCTGTGACATAAGTAGACACTCATCCCAGTTGCTGAGGGATCCCATGACTGGCTTTATCACTGACTGGAGAATATTGTGGCAGAAGCATGTCTTAAAACCAAGCAGAGGGGCTGCGTGCCAGGGGCTGGTGTGAAGTTCTTCTCTGCTTCATTCACCTTGGAGTGCCTTGCTGTGTGCCTCTGCTTTAATAGCATATCATTTTCCCTTCCTTTTACACAAAACCACTGGGACACTTAATCTTAGTTCTCTGGAGGTCTTTTGGAGTTTCACAGCCCGATCGTAGTAATCAAGAAAGGGTAGGCGTGACCAAGGATGAGGTTTGATTCTTTGACTGCCTCTCCAGATTTAGGCTTTTAATTTTCACATTCCTCTCCATGGTTTGTAATAAATGTGGGAACATAACTGAAGGGCAGGAATAGGTTTAACTTCAACAAAGGTACAGTAGACACTATTGGGAAAGTAAAACTTTGAAATGGCAGTTCAGCCTTGAAGAATATATTGAATTAGATATGCTGTAAGCCTTGATTCATGATCTCTGCATAATAGCATTGCTATGTATATTACCTGGGTGTCTTAGTAGACTAGAGAAATGGGCTGTTTAAGAGATTAAGTTCACAGAATCAGTGCCTTTGCTGATGAAAAATGAGAGGGCAAGAGCCAGGTGACCTCACTTCCTGTGCATATTCTTACCACTTCCTGTGGGGCCATGACCTCTCTGAGCACTGATTTCTTCATCTGCAAAATAAAGATTATTTTAGAATGGGATTTTTATGAGTATTAAGTGAAATTTTATCAAGCACAGAGCTTCGCTTATCATAGTAAATGAAAGTTCAACAAATGAGAACTGTCTATTCTACCATTGTAAGATTATTATTAAAATTCCTGATTCTGTAATTCTGTCCCTTAGTACTTCCTTTCCTCATTCATTTATTCATGCAGTTCTTTTTTAGCTGATTCTTATTTCTTGTCAGTTTCGGAGTCACGATGGTCATCTTTTATAAGACATACTGTCATTTCAAAGCACTGGCTAAGTACAACCAAGACTGACAACTATGAATAATTCCACAGAGCCTCTAAAATATTCTGGCATTTCACTCCAACTCAGATATGCCACTAAGTTCTTCTCTCTTGTTTTGTGCCTCTCAATTCTCAGCAGATTTCATATATTATTGCGGAAGGTGAACATCGTCTTCCTCTGAAAACTAATCCAGAAAGAACCAATGTGGAGTAATTGGGCTTCATGAGAGCATCACTTGTCAAGTCTAAAAACATATGGAGAGATAATCACATTGTATTTTTTCTTTCTTACACATTTTCAGCACGTTCATGTCCACGTTCTTCCCAGAAAAGCTGGAGACTTTCGCAGGAATGACAGCATCTATGAAGAGGTAAGTCTGCCCTTTCTGATCACAGTGGCTGTCATCTTGATGCAATCAACCTGGTGAACCAGATGTCACTCTAGATATGGTCTTAAATTGGTTTCTACCTAGTAGAACTTGGGAAGTGGAAGTAGAGGCCTAGGAACCAACAATGGCCATAATAGAAACCCCAGATAAGTTAATTATAATTATTTCCTTCTTTCAAATGAAACCCAGCAGCCACCAAGTGTCCTTGTGGTGTCTGCCCTCTCATTTACCAGAACATTATATATTTGTGTGGAGATAATATTCCAGAATCTCCAGAGAAGAAAATATGCAGTAAAATCAATAGAGAGAAAGAAGAATGATATAGGATTTTTTAATTCAAATCCTATGTTTAATTTTGACACTCTTTGAAACTCAACTGGTCTCCCTAATAGCATTTACTCAAAGTGGATCTTAGAATTATCATGAGCAGAAACTGGTTTAGATAATATGAGTATACTCCATGTATTATAAACATTTTAGCAGTTAACTGATTTCTGGACACTCCTATTCAAAAATATAAGTGTGAAATCAGTACAAACACGAATATGAGCAGTAGCCAGGTGATTTGCTTCTAGGATCTTGTCTGCATGAGAACCTTCAGGTTCATCTGTCCTGTGTGGAACGTACAGCCTGAGATGGGTGAGGTTGTAATTCCAGTTTATATACTCACTCTAGCCAGGGAAACCATGTTCCTATATGTTAGAGCTATGGCACTAGCACCATAGAATGCTTGACTGAAAAGGACTTGGAGGGCATTTCTGGATGTAGCAAGGAAAAGGGCTATGATTGATAAGCAATGTCAACCATGGGTGTCAGATAGGAGAGAGTTTCCATATTAGCCATCCATTTATAATCCTGTTGTAACCTCTTAGATTGATTTTAAAAATTCATTTTTATTTTGGTTGCTTACATTGATTTTTTTAAATGCGTTTTTAAAATTATGGTTTTTTATCATTCAGCTCTACCGGGTTAATCTATCTGATTATCTTTACTTGGTCTTCATGGGTGACGTAGAGTCTGTGCTTTTCTTTGTGTGTCTATAGGATTTCTTTATAGTAACTAGACATGAAAATGGCTACCCAAACCTTGGAAATAAAGAAACAATACATCAGCACTTAATAATGAATGGGTAATTCGTTTTTCTAGGATTTATCGGATCATTTGAGTTGATTGGTTATTATGTCTTTAGGATATATCTTATTATATCATGTTTCCTGCGTTTTTCAAGAGTCACAATGGACCTCTGTAGAATGAAATTGACTTAGATACTAGCTTTTAAGTGATGGTTTGTAAACCAGTTGCTGAAAATCTCAGTTCCCAAGAGGTTCCTTCCCTAGAGATTCTGACTCAATAGATGGCAAAGGAACTCAGTCATTATGTAAGAAAATCCCCAGGAGATTTTGGTTCATGTCTAGGTATAGGAATAGGCTCTCTGCCAAATCTGGGCTTTCCAAAGTAATTCTATAATACTATCATTCAAACTAATTTTCATTGGATATGGAGTGCAATTTGGGGGTTGGTAAGGATTTAGCCCCATATTGGAGGAAAGCCAGAATTATGGAGTAATTATAAGAGATGCATTAAAAATACAAGTATGGATGTTATTAACATAACTGAGGTTAATAAAATGTTGCCAAGTACAGGCTACTTTAATGAATAAATTAGCACATGATTTATATACAAGTGAATGCTGCTAAAGTGGTATTAAAAGTGCTTGAAAACACTGTTTTCTTAGGCTGAACAGTCACCTTGAAATCTTGTTTGTGTTCCAAAAAATGCTAGTGAGAGAATCTGCACAGATATATTTCCACTGGGTTCAAGATATGATGCCCAATACTATGGCTGGTGTGTGCCCTTTCTCTCCTCTTGTTCTTTTGCCCTGTGTACATGCTTTGAGATCATCTCTAGCACCGCAGATTAAGCAACACATGTTCCTACTTTCCACCTATTTGGAAGAGCATCACAGGAGAAGTAATTGCCATAAGTTTTTTTTTTTTTTTCAATCTCTGGGTAAGTGGACATGTGTTACAGACATTTCCACTAAGGGAGATTGTGGTATAGAACTATAGAGAGGTTGGACTCAGAAAGAAGCAGAATCAAGCCCAAATCCAATGCCACCTACTTACTGAATGATATTGGGTTAGTCATTTCACCTTTGTGTTCTAATTCTCCTGACTTTAAAATGGAAATAATAGTATATTCCAAAAGATCATCACATGACTTATGTGAATTATGTACCTGAAATCTTATTTCAGAGCTTTGTACATAGCTACCTAATAGCATATGCTTAGTATATATTTCTCATCTAATTATAATGATTAATTTAGTTTTTGAAAAAGTGGAGATGGGGGACAAATGGATAAGTCGGATTCAAAGACAGCTCACTGGGTGTTTCTGTACAGCACTCTCTCCAAGGCCCATCCTGGCCCATCCTTCCAATTTTTTCTCTGCCTCTAACCACTTATTTTAAATTTCATTTTCATCTTCATACAAAAATGTTTCTGCAGTTTGAGTACATAATAAGGTGATGTCTAGAAAGAGGAATGAGAACATCGAAGCATTGCTCAGGCATTGTTGGTGCAGGATGAAATGTACATGAGGCCAAATAATCTTAATCAGAAATGATAGAGTGATGAGGAATGGCATTCTTTATACTGATGAAATCCCTTGCTGAAGATCCTGTGTGTCCTCACAACATACAACAGACAGACTGTCTTGGATGAGAGGGGACAGGGACAACAGGTGACTGAACTCAGAAAATCTACTTGTATCCCTACCACTGCAGACACAGAAAATGTCAGGTAGAAAGGTCACATTCTCTTTGAGCACTCTTTTAAGAAGAGTAGTGACAAACTGGAGAAGAGTCACGGAAAGGTGTTTGAGGTGGCAGGTTCTAGAAACAGACTGAGGAATAGTTGATGGTAAATATGTTTAGACTAGAGAAAGGACAACTTGTAGAGGGAGAGGAGTGACAGAGTCAATTTCTAAATATCTGAAGGGCTGGCAGGTGGCAATGTTATTAATAAGTTCTATGTGTTTCTCGAGAGCAGATCTGGGACTATAAAACTACAAAGAGGCAAGTATCAGCTCCACATAACAAGAGGTCAAATGGAGAAAAACTTCAAAATGGTCACAGTGCCTTTCGTGGGAGTGAGCTTCCTGTCCTGGTGCTCATTCAGACATAGAGTGGACTGTCATGATGTATGCATTTTGGTAATTGCTTGGACTACACGGTTCTGCAGATCCTGTCTTTACAAATCTGGTCCACTTGATCATTATCTTCATTTTTAATTTATGAGAGCTCTGTAACAAATAGTGATTTTTTTTTTTTTTTTGTCATCAGTATTATAGCCTTTGGGTTACTGCCTGACAAAACATATTCTTTTTATTTATTTCATGGAAATACAAGGCAGAACTCTTTTTTTTTTTTAATAAGACCCCTCATTCTCAGCCTACTTCATGCTTTTATTCCAGCTCATTGGTGCATATTGATACTCCGTGGATTTTGCTTGCCTTTTCATATAGATGTTATTATTGCTTGCAAAGTATTTTTAATGGTGTGCTGTATTTTTGTCTGCAAATATTTTTAATGACTATTAACGTCATTTGGCATGTCACTAATTCTGGGGTCACTGTAGTTTCTACAGTTCTTTTATCTGGGTTTGTGTATCTCATTTAGGATACTTGCCTGTCTCCTGAAGTTGGCTCAGTTTCAGATCTCTACCTACGTCTTAGGCTCGCACCCTCTCTCATGCACTCAAATGTTACTGTTCTGCGGAACCCTCTGTCTGGTCTGGTGTGTATGCCATTTATTTTTATCTTTTATTTCACCTCCTTGCTTACTCATTTACTGTCCTGTGGCCCTGGGTAAGTTCTTTAATTCAGGGGTATATGTCCACCTCCCCTGTTTCTTTACATCTGGTTCTCTCTCATTGCTTACTTTTGTTAAATATATCATTTTTGTTCCTTTCTCATGACCTTTGAATGTGTCATTATCTTTGCTCATAATTTCTGCCATCTTCTCCTTTCCTTTGTGTAGCTTCATGGCTTTATCCAAATCTCAGCTCAAAGTCACCTCCTCAATGAATCTCTTTCACTGTTCTCCAACTATAACAACCAGCTATTCCTCTGCCCCTGTCTCAGTAACTCAAGCATGTCGCCATGACTTTTTCTTTCTCAGCACCACACTTGAAATAATTTATTATTTTATATTCACCCCCCCAACTACATTGTAAAGCCTTGAGAGCAGGAACCTAATCTGGCATAGAGTGGCTCATAAATGTGTATTTATTAAAGAAGTGACCACATGAAAGAACAAGGACTCAGACTAGAAACCTTGGAATTCTCTACTAGTTCCTAACATAATTTAAGAGGAGAGTATATCTTGCTTTCAGAGGGGAGGATTCATTAACTCATCACTATACTGGGTGAGCCCCTGACATGGTGCTATCAGCAATCTGAGGTTAATTTAATGGGGCATTGATAGAACAGAATCCTTTGGTTGAAAATCAGCGTGCAGAAGACTGAAAGTTGTGATACACCAGAAAGGCTTAGGGAAGCAATCGTAAACGTTATCTGATTGCTAAGCAAGTCTGGTAGACACTTGTCAAAGATGATGAGTAACTTACCCCCTCAAAATGTAGATTTGTCTGGTTGTAACAAAGACAGATGTAGGATTGGCTGAAAGTAGGCCCAAGAGCTTCTCTGCCTTCCATTCAACTTTGATTGCTATCTATGCGTTTATCATCACCCGCTGTTCCTCCGGCTTTGTTTCCTGGACTTGTCCACATGCATTTTGCTCCCTATTTTATCTACCCCATTTCAGAGTACGTGCCTCTCTTCTCTCTCTAACCTGAGTTCAGACTCCATGTTTTCCAAAACAGTCTCTTCCAAAGCCCATTCTTTGTGGTTCATCATGCAGATCTTATTCATCTGTAGCCCCCAATCTCTTTCTGTGTCTATGTTGTCTATGTTTTCTAAGT